CTTAAATGCGCAGTGCTGGAATCCAGATGATGGAAGCTTAACAATTTGGGTGGGAGCCACAGGCTATAATGTTACCCCATGGACTAAAGGACTACTACTTACAAGTGTATCAGCTGCATCAGGACTTCTGTTGACGCACCAACAATTAAAACCATTTATTTTCATGTAGTTTTGTGGGTATTTGTAGTATCCTGGGGCAAATTTAATTTCTGTGTAAGGCTGGAGCCAGCTGGTCTGTAGAGACTGGCTGTGTGATGTGGTCCTTGCCTCCTGCTGCATGGTAGTGCTCGTGTGAGGGATGGAGGCGGGATTTTCGCAGTGTAAGATGAATATCTTAGTCCTGTGTGTTCTTCTTTATTGTACAGTTCCCAGGTCTAAGTAATAAAGAAAATGTATCATCATCCTTAAACTATGAGTGAAGCCTAAAAATCTTCCATATGCTTATTGATATTCTGCTCTGATTTAAGGTTTGAGGCGTTTCAGCTATGTGTGTCATGTCATCTCCCATTTTAAACTTTGATAGCTAATTCAATTTTGTTTCTCGTGTGGAAGATGTTGTTTAATATTTCTAGGAATTGCATGTTTAAGAACCGCTTTAGGGAAGCTTTGTTTAGAAAGTGTTGAGAGGTAGTAGTGTGTTTGTTTATTTATGAAGACAGTGTTTGCACTCCCCTACACATTACAGTGTTGAATAAACATATCTTGTCTTTTGTGTATACATGTAATTATGATAATGGTAAAATTCACACATAATTTCAATTCCTAAATTTTGCCTCAAAGGTAGTAAGAAATGTAAAAGGCACAGACTTGCTTTTTCATATTTGCAGTTATTGAGAAAGTAGACCCATGGCTCCATCTGCTGGGGTTCAAAACCAGAAGCACAAGGAATTGCTGTTTATTGAAAGGGCTGAGTTTTGGCACACTTGTGAGAGTAGCTGCTGGGCAGAAGCTGAAATAAAAAGTACTGCATTTTGGTTTTCAGCTGTTGAACTGATGGAGTAGATTTCTCTGGAGATACTGCTGTAATATTTTGACAATTTTGCCTGTTTTAACACTTGTGGGTTTTTCTTCCTACAATTAGATTCACTGTCTGAAAGTTGAGCAATTTGTCTCTTTTGACAAGATACAGTAATATATACAATACAGTAATATATACAATAATTGTATATAGTATACAATGTATACTATATACAATTATACCTGTATAATTTTTACCTTGTGTTTTTTTATAGTCAGACAACTTCTGTAGGCAAGATAAAGGCCTGATATTACAACATTAGCTGGATGGTTCCTCCAAAGATCTCCTGTGGGGAAAGAGTAAGGCCCAACTATAAAAAACTTGACTTCTTGGTCTTCTCTGACAATTAAATATGTGATATTAAGATATTTTTAAGATTAATTTGCATTTTGCAATGTTTTGGTGCAGACCAACATGAAAGGAAGCTATTTCCATCTCATTAACTTTTAAAATATTTTGCTCACACTTGGTTTCTCAATTCCATTGGTCTGAGCACAGAAGCTCAGAAACTCTCAGCTGTAGCCAAGCTCTTGAGGAAGAGAATTTTCCAAAATAATCCACTATTACTATGCCTGCAGTTGTTTGCATAGTAGCTTTGTCATTTTCTGTCATTATATTAACATGTCTTGTGTAATGCCAGCTGCAAGAATATGCATTGAAAAATGCATTCCATAAAAAGCAAAAATTTTCTGTCTTGTTCAGCACTGAGTAAATATTTCAGTTTCAGTAGTAACTGGGTTTTAGAATTCAAAAGTATTACAAAGTAATGGCTGTGTATTTGATCAAGATTCAAACCTCCACACAGAATAGTGTGCCTGTTTTCTTGAGTATTCTCATTATGTGCTAGCATATTTTGTCCTAAACAAGGAGTCTAAATAAAGGTGTCTTTCTCTTCTCTTTTCTTTTTCCTCTGTTGAAGGTTTTAAGAATGATGCCAGTAGAGAAAAGGATTTTAAATAAATAAAATTAATGGTTTTGCGGGGATGTAGCTGGAGTGAATTTTACTCTGTAAGTGTTATTAGTGTAAAGTTGCAAGTACAAATACTCATGTTAAATGTGGAGACTGAAAGGAAACACCTCCAATCGTTAGTCATAAGAGGACATATATGACAGTTTATAGCTCCTCTGCTGTAAGCAAAAAAAAAAAAAAAAATTAACGGAATACCAGATTTCAGTAGTATCTGAAAATATTGCTGTCTTGAAATACTTGTTATTTTTCCTTGTGTTGCAAGCAGAGAAGTTGTCATTTTAACTTAATGATAAGCTTTGACTGGTTAACAGTGCAAAATGTGTGTGTATATATATGATATGTAATTCTATTAAATCATTACTGTTAAAAATCTTACTAGAACATTCACAACATTCAAACAGTGTATGCACATGGGCATGCATGTATACAGGTATATTTGCACAATGGTGTATGCTTTAAGAAATATTCTCTGATAGCTGTTTTAGACCTAGAAAAAAACAGTGTATTGTACTGTATTGAGTGAGGATTTCTGCTGCTTAGACAATTAGAGGAATGCTGACAGTTTGTGTTCTTCCTTCACGAGACAGGAAAGGAGGAATCAACTGAATAAATGCCATTTTGTTATCTGCTGTTAGAGGCAATATATTCTATTAAAATTTATTACCAACTGGAAGACCAAAGCTATGTTTATTCAGGGTCAATCTTTAGGAATAATCTCTTATTATTTAGACACAGTCTTTGTATTCCTAGTGCAAGTTACAGAGTGTGCTTTTTGCTCAGTTTTCTGCTTCCTTCTGGTTTCAGCTTGGAAAATTTTGTAGTTACAAACTAGGATGGCTTCAGTGAAGTGACAGTTTAAGCTATGGGCAGGAGAACAGCAGCAGCAAATGTTTTATACACCCATAAAATGCCTATAGGGATTTAAGGTATTTTTTAAAAGTACTTTGTTAATCTATTCTATTGTACAACTGCATGCTAAAGGTTTGGTTTTTTTTGTCAGCAATTTCGATCTCTCTTTAAAACACAGGAAAGAATTCTTACAATCTGTAAAAATCATGTGTGTATGTGCTTATCCATGTGTACCAGTAAGCCTGCAAGGTAGAGAGTCACTACAGCAAAGAAACCCCAATGCAGTTAGGGTCTTGGAGTGGTTAAAGAAGCCAGAGAAGGGGAGGGGATGAAGGGTTTGATGTGGCTTTCAAAAGCCCATTTTGGGTAGGCAGAGTTGTGGACGGGTGAACAAGCTGGGATAACACCAGTTCCTGTGGGAGTTCACAGAGCCGTGCGTTCTTGGCACTGTTCCCACTGCAGTTGCTCTTATGTAGTGGTCTAAATGCAAACTTTCATACCTGTCAGTGAAATGGAACAGCTGGCTGTGCTTCAGTTCACTGCTGGATGTCAAGTTTTTCTGGTAACTCTGTGTGGTCCTGTATTGCCAGTTTTGCCCTAGACAGACAATTCAAATTGGGGTTTCAGTCACAGAACAATGGGCGTTGTCTAGGTCAGGCTGTAGCTTGCCACCAGAGCTCACCAGTGGCTTCTTGCAATTCGTGACTATTCTCAAGCTGTTTTTCTCATCCTAAACTACAAAATTGCTTATTGATTCCTGATGCTTGTGAATAGTGTGGCTGCTTGGCACTGCATCTTCAGAGTGGAGCTGTACTCCACTCTGAAGATGCAGTAGCATTTAAAAAGAAATGTTAACAGCAGAAAAGTGCAATTCAGCCTCTAGTCAGAAACAGTCTTTGAGCTTGTTACTCATTCTTTCACAGTTATATAACATGTATGTAGTTTTAATAAAACTTAAATAAATTCTGTTTCCATTTATATATATGTGTGTGTATGTATACACTACCTAAATATATATATTGCTGACTGATACTTGCTGAGCCACATATTAAATTGCTCATTAGATGAATTACTTTGTTTTTGCAGTTGACATACAAACATTGTCTAGACAGATGACTTGGAGTTTATTTTTACGTGCTGAGCACCAGCAGCTCATGAAGTGACATTGGGGCATAATTCCTACAGCTTCTCCTGTTCTTGTGATTATATATACATGTTTTTATTACTGTCTCTCTGTGGTCCTGTCTTTCACAGAGGTAGTTTATTATAACAAGAACAAAAAGGAGATGGAACTGGTCTGTATTTCATAAAGATTAATATTCTTCCAGTACATCTACAGTGCTGATCGAAAGAAGTTTTGCTTAAATATTTATAAAAAAATTACAAGTGCCTGTGCATGGAAGCACTTCTCACTAATTTCAAAAAACATGAAAAAAGAGCTAATTATAAGCAAATAGGCTGTGAGAGGATTTCAGAAAAATGTTCAAAGAAGACATTACAGTTCAAATCTAGAGACATGATCCCATATTTTGACAGTAAAATCCTTGACCTTACAGTTCTTTAGGAAGAATTTTTGGTGTTGCATATTTTGGCTGGATTGCAATGCCATCATTTTCTGTATTGGAAGGTGTTACATACAGCCTTTAACAGAAGCACATAAAGTAATTAAAATCCAACTGAAAATTCAATGAAGATTGAAAATTTATATCCTCTTCTTTCATGCAAAAATCTGAGTGTTTAGAAATACAGAATAATGATATGTTCTACTCAGATCATGAAAAATGAACTATCTTTGAGGAGCGCTTACAGTTTATAAGAAGAACTTAAAAACAAGGATGTTTGGGTGATACACTAATAGATCTTTTGGCATTTAGATTTTATACTGTTACCCAGTGTAACAGTATACAATACTGTTGTCCAATACTGTATATAAAATTGGATCTTTTGTCAGTAGAATATTTTAAGCCACATGTTTGCTCAGTTTTCAGTGCTGGCTATTGAACATCACTTTGAAATGCTACAAGTCTTCAGTAATGTGTGTACAGCAAATTGATGTTGACATCTCATGCATTTAGGCTGACTGACAAATCTGTTTGAGTGATCTTTGAGGCTGAATAATTAATCTTATTCCCTCCCTCCCCCCTGTTTTTTATTTCATCCTAGGTTATTTTATTGGCTGTGAAGAACCACGGACCCTTTGTGCCCTGATGGGGGACTCGGGATCCAGACGATCGACTCTCGTATCTCGCTTGCCAATATTCAGGAGAAGTGTTAGCCGGAGACACGACTCCCTTCCTTCCTCGCCTTCTTCTGCCAATGCCATTGGTGTCCACACCTCCTCCCCATCCAGCACGAACTCCAGCTCAGGGAGCACCGGAAAGCGCCGGAGTATTTTCCGCACTCCTTCCATTAGCTTCCATAACAAGAAAGGGAGTGAGCAGAAGTCTGACTCGGCGAGTCAAAATGTTAACATCTCAAATGGTGCCCAGTCCTCTCTTAGCACTTTTCAAAAACTCAGCTTAGACGAGCACATAAAAAGCAGAGGAAGGCATTCAGTTGGCTTTGGCAGCTCACGTAACAAGAAGATAACAAGGTCTTTGACAGACGATTTTGAAAAGGGAAAGGAGCCCTCAGCTAATAAGAATGTCTTTATCAATTGCATAAGCTCTGGGAAGAATGAGGGCGATGATTCGGGCTTTGCAGAAGAGCGAAGCCGATATTCTGTCAAACAGTCCACACGAAAACTTCTCACCAAATCTTTTTCCTCACACTACAAATTTTCCAAACCAGTTCCAGAGAGTCAGTCAGTTTCCTCTGTGCAGCAGCCCAGGTGCTTGCTGGAAGTTAAATCCTATGTGGAGAGTGAACCTGTGATGGCCAAATTGTCTCCTCCATGCTCGGCTGAGACGACGGAGTGCATGGGCAGCTCCCTGCAGTCCCCGCTGCTCTCGGCTGACCTCACGGCTGCCCAGACCCCCTCAGACTTCGTCGCTCTGACCGAGGACTCTGTTTCAGAGGCTGATGCCCTGCCCAGCAGCGGGCCAGGGGCACTGCTCACAGAGGATTTTGGCCACGATGTCTCTACCTCTCAGATCTTCTTTAATCCTGCTGCTGCTCCTGTGAGGGAGAGAGAGACTGTGCAAAGTGCTGGCCATTCTGCTGTTGTATCTCCTGTGAGTCATGCAAGCTCATGCAGTGTGGAATCCAGTACCTTATTCAAAACCTCAGTTGCTAATCAAACAAAAGTATTGTTGCAAGCCAATGGACTACATATTAATGATGCCAGCCACATAGAAAAAATTAACTCAGAAAATGCACATTTAGGAACCTTGATGTTACAGCATAGTGAAGAACCAGTGACACTCTCCCCAAAGGCACGGGGGTTGAGTGGCAGCAGAGATGAAAGCACTCCATGCAAGCACATGAGAAACACAGTTCCTCTAGTGGGGTCTAACACTGTTCCATGTTCTGAACCTCAGTCCTTTAAAACACAACAGGGTTATGAATCAAACCATCCTAAAGGTATGTTTCGTGGTCTTTTCATTTTTGAGTTTGGTGGGTTTTGAGTCATTCATTATGAGTCATTCATTATCATTTCTATAATGACTGTTTTGTCATAAAGTGTTTTTTAGAATTGCAAGTGCTAACTGTGAAGTTCAGAAAGTGGAAATTGTGTCCTCCCCAGAACTATAGGAATTAAAGGCAAAGTCTGTGGTTTTTTTGAGTTTAAGAGTTTGCAAACACCCATCAGTGCTGTTCATGGCTATGCTTTCCTTAATAGAAAATGAATTAGAATGCAAATTCCCAGCTTGTGTTAGAGGCTGAAGCTACGATTCCTTGAGACATGGCTATTTTGGACTTGAGCCATGGGGTTGCATAATTTGGGATGGAAACATCACCGGAGAAACAAATATTCCTGTAGTGTGATTACGGGAAACAATGCCGTTTACTTTATATTGATCGGGGTTTAGAAATTTCTAGAGTCTTGCTTTCTCTACTCAACTGATGTTATAGAATAGCTCCGAGTGGGTATTTTGTCAAAGTATGAGAGATCCTGTTTCTGCTTCCATCTGAAATAAATGTCCAAATTCTCATTTTGTCATCTGTGAAACCGAGGGAGTTAATTACCATCTAAATTTCACACTAGGTCTGTAGTTTATGAAGAGTAATTTGGAGTACTAACAAGATTAAGTGGAAAGACTGTGCCTAGAAATCCCAGTCTATAGAGATACAGATAAATAAGGCACCAGGCCCTTGAGTGAAGGACACCTGTCAGAAAACATTTATCTCTGACAGCTGATTTTCTCCAGCCAGTTTAATGACTGGTGCTTTCTTGCTTAATCCTGAGGCTCTATGTGAGGGGGCAAAATTTGAGAGTTAACAAGGCAGCATTTGTAGTGATTGTTTAGAAGATGAATGATGATAAGTATAAGCTCCTATAAATTCACACCCATCATTTTGCTTGGATATTTATCTAGGCATGTAGATTATAAGCAATCAAAAGCAATCTTGCTTTTTTGAATTATTAGTCACTGCTAGGCTTACTTGGGTATCTTGTTTATAAATGGCAATAGAAAGTCAAATTAATCCACTGAATTAGCTTTCACCAGAGGCTCCTCTTTCACTCGAAACCTCAGTCACTTTGGGGGAAAAAATATTCCCATTTATCTGTATTACTGGTCCTGAACACTCAGTTTGTCTTCCTTGCCACATTGTCTCATCTGTAAATAGCTCTTATTACTAGAGCTAATACTGCACTATATAAAAGTTGTTGATTTAAAAAAATAGAAAAGTTCTGGTTTTTAGTGCTGTTCAAAATACTTTTTTTTCTGGTGTTGTGAAGAATGTATTTCAAATTAGAAATTCATCAAGGGTACAAAGGAACCAGTGAAAATAAGACAAAAGCCTGCCATATGAAATGAGTCAAATACAGAAAAAGCTTACATGGCAATCAGCAAGATGTGGTTATAACTACTTATACCTCTTGCAAACAGACTGGTTTGAACATTTGGTTTTCTAAAACAGTATTTGAACCAAGATGTGAATAGAAAATACTTCTGTGCATTTTCTTTGGTAATAGATATTTTCTCTTCTGTACCTGGTATCATAGCTGATATCATTATAGATAGCATGGTGAATGTGACATTGATGTGTGAGGAGGTTTGATGTGCCACATATTTCTTAGTATACTTTTATGTATTTTTTTGTGATATGGATTTTTTTGAGAACCTTTAGAGAAAATCTCTATTCTCTTGCAAAATGCAAAATGTAAAATTTTCTGTATGTGTGACATTTATTATGCTACTACTCTTTTATCTGTCCCCATCTCTAAATTTGCCCTGACATGTCAAAATGTATTTTTTTCTCCTCTTTTGTGATGTGTTACTGTTTTAACTGGACTGGGATTTTGCCCACTGACTGCAGACTGATGGAGGGTGCAGGTGTAAGGCTAAACTAGGAATGCTGAACAGAAATGGAAACTGATGTGCATCCCTCTTATGCAGGGGTAACAAAGTTGTCACCTGGCCCTTCAAAAGCTGGACTTGCCTTTGGGCCTAGGGTAAGGCAGGCTGGCACCACCGGGCAAGTGATAGTTTCTCTGGTAGATATTACTTTCAGCAATTTGGGAATGTCCTATAATAAAGGGAGAAGGAAAAAGATGGATCAAAGAGTCTTTCTGGATTCTATGAGGAGCCCTTGCCTGGGCTGTGGTGTGCTGAGCATGCCTGTCTCTGGGGCTGAACTGGGGGCCCAGGTGACACCTTGATCTAGGGAAGCATGGTCTGCTTTCCACAGAATATTTCTCATGTGATTTATTTTCAGTGTAAGTATTTCAAGCAAAGCAGTGTTCTCATTAAGAAAATACTTGTAGAGAGCAGTTCCCTGTAACAATTGCTGATTGCTTCTCTCGTTGTAGTTGATCTTGCCAGCAGCCTCAGTCCACACAGGGAAGGCAGATTTGTTGAGAAACGACTGAGGTCCTCTTCAGAAGGCACTGCTGGGGGCAGCCGGCTGATCATAAAACCAAAGGATGGAAATGCAGAAGAGCTTAACAGCCTAAGGAAGCAGAGAGCAAGCTCGTCCTCTTCTAAAATGAACAGCATGGTGAGTTTTATTCCCATATCCATAAGGTTATGCTTTTTTTCTGGTTGGTGTAGCTATAGTGAGAAGCAGTGACCTCACAACTAACAGTAATAAAGAGGGCAGGAGCTGTCTCAGGCTTCCAAAATGTGATCCAGGCTCAGATTCAGATATTAAAAGTATTTTTTTTGCAGGGTGTCGTGCTGTGAAAAGGTTTGAATACTTTCTGGGAAGAGTTTCTCGCTGACATGTGTTAATAATTTGGTTGTGTTTGGAGCTTTTAGTATTTTTCTGTTTTTGAAGGAAGTTTGCATCCAAATATCAGTGAATAACATATAATTTTTCAAAGCCAGAAAGAACATGATGATACCTAAAAGGTGCTGTTTCATGTAGGTATACAAAGCAGATGGAGTTCATGCACTAAAATACTGGTTAATCCTGGCTCAGGCCTGTGAACCTTTTTTTTGGTTCTTAGACCCAAGCTGTTAGGCAGATCTGTGTTTATTTAAATACTAGGCTATTTGATGCTATTGCACTTCTGTCTGTTTAGCTCCATATTAATGATGGAAATGGGAAGGTGACAATCAGGAACAGCAGGAAGTAGGCAAAGTGTGGATGGGATTAAATGATAATCTGATCCCTTCTTTGTGTTTTGTTTATGAAATTTGAGCTTTTTTCCCCCTTCTTCCATTAGCAAGATTGTCCCCATATCGACATGATTTGTTTATGCTTATTGGTATTATAATCACAGACTTCTAAAACAAGATTAGAGAGCATGCTCATGAGGGAAGGTAAAATTATTCCTTCTTTGCCCTCAATACATGTGGGTGTTACGTTCCTATTTTAAGAAAATGGAGCTTTTTTAGTAAAAAGTGAGGTTTAGGAAGTAAATCAAGCAAAACCAAACCTGAAAACACCCTCTGCACCATCTCCTCCCCATGAACAACAAGAAGACAAAAGAAAAAAACAGTTTTCTGGAAGCAAAATTAAAAAAAAAAAAGAAATTGAATGTTCATAATAATAAATATTTGAACAGGAAAAGCGCCGCTTCAAAATACTTGTCACAATCAATTTGTGTTTGACACCACTGTAGCAGATGGCTACCAATGAATGATGCTAATGAGAATAAATACTAGGTAAAGAATTGGTGTTACTACACAAAGTATTATAAAAAATCTTAAGTGTTTAGAACAACATGAGTCACATGGCTGGCTGCCTCATGACAACATGAGTCATATTGGCTATATTCATTTTTTTCATTTGTATTTACTTTTTTCAGTTCTGGAGAAAAATGAACCATGGACATTTAAGGGGTGGAAAATCCCTGGGGGAGAGCAGAGGCCCCTGTGGCAAGGGCAGCATCGCTGTGCACTTCTGTTCTGAGGCACTGAACGAGCAGCTGTGGCTGTGGGTGCTGGTTTTCTGGCATCACCCAGATGTCTTGTTAAGCTGAAGAAACTGTCTACCTGTATCTTTGCCCCTGTTTGTGTTCTTTTTCTTGTTGGCATGCAGTGTGAACTGCTTCTGCTGGGGAAATGGTAGTGAGGAGCCAGAAAATCTTGCTAAAGGAGTGCAAGATTTTTCACCGGAGACAGGAAGTAAAAAACCAGCATCTGAGAAATTGTTCTTTATCCTAAACATTCTGGTCAGCAGAGTATTCTTGCATAATTGTCAGTTCTTGTTTTGAAGATGAAAGGTAAAAGTTTGGATAGATTGACCTCCTAAATACTGGGAATATGTATCAAACCTACAAACAAGACCAGTGCTTCTCTAAGAGGGGGGTTAACTAACTTGTGAGGTGCTGGAAGTAATTTATATTCTGGCTAAGACCAGTGCTGTTTGTAAATGAAATTTAGGGCAGAAAAAAAATCTTTCAAAATAACTCTGCAAACATGCCTATTTCGTAGTATTGTAAATAATGATGTGAAAGGAATGCTTGAGATGAATGGCCAATTATGTGTTTACAAAGCCGCTGTTCTTGCAGTGGCCGATTCCTGCTACAAGAGGGCACCGTTTCACCAGGAATGGTTCTGGCAAGTGATCAGGACATGTGTTTGAGCAGTTTAATGTTATTAATAGACCCTTTCCAAATGAGAAATGTTGGTAGTGATGCAATTTAAAGAGATGGATATCGCTGTATAAGCTCTGCTCATTCTAATGCTTCAACAATAAGTTAACAAATTTAAATTTTTTGACATAACATATAGATGAGTTAACTATGTCTCAGAAGGTTGGTAGAAATTATGCTTCACCTGCTGGTTTTGCGTAAATGGTTCTTCTTTTCCCATGTGTAAGGGAGACAAAAAGAAAAACATGAATCAGCACAGGCAAAAGACCTGAATGGTCTGAAATATGCAGTCCTGCAAGACCAGTGAAAAGAATGTAAACCTGGATAGTTGACACAATGAAAATTAGATTTACCACATTAAAAAAAAAAAAGAAACATCATACCACCAAATCACTCTAAGTAAGTTCTGTAAGAGGTTTAGGAGACAGAGCAGCAGGTGGAAGAGACTTGATGTATAGCAGAACTTGGAACTAAGAGAAAGTGAGATTTGTGTAAACAACAAAATTATCCATCACTTGTCAAAGTAATGGCTAATATGGAAAGCTGAGTATCCTGAATATCACATTTATCAGTACAGAGACAAAATCTTAACTTTTTTTAATGTATGATAGTGATAATCAAGTGCTAGCAAATTAAAGTCATTAAAACCAGATAGTCATGAAGGATGATATGAATGGGAGGAAGTAACTGTGCATGTTAAAAAAACTTAAGAGGATGGTGGGAGCATCTGGATCACACTGCCCAATTCCAAGGCATGAGCTACGCTGTGCTGTATGCATCCATGTGTTTTCACTCTGTCTAGAAATACGGCTGTGCAGAGGATTAAGACTGCCCGCTTACTTGGCTCTTGCAAATCTGCCCTTCTGCCTCTCTGCTATTCTTTGCAAGGAAAATAGTGATTTGTCTTTACAGCTGCTCTCTTGCCCATGCCTGTCTATCAGCCTATGTGCTACTTAACTAAAAATCCCTTATTTTTCAACTTCTTGTCTCAGTGGGTGAACACTGTAGGACTGTGTTTCTGTGGGCACTCTTCAGCACATTTATCTCTTCAATTTCTCATACTGGAGTCTTCTCTAAATGTTGCCTGTTTCTTGCTTCTTAAATTCAGCTTCAACTTTTCACCTTTGTAGGTAAAAACTTTTGTGCTTGCCTTCAGTGCTGTGTCGTCAGCTTCCTTTGCCTGGAGCAAAGCAGCCTTGCCAACCTGTGCCAGCCCAATTAGAGCAGCACAACTTATTTTTCTGGATTGTTGCTTTGTCTGTGCCATTTTTTTCTTTGCATCTTTCCTGTGGTTCCTATATATTAGATGTAAAACCAGGGACTTCTGAGGCCTAAGGACATCCCTGCCTTTTTCCTCTCAGCTTTAACAGTGGCCCTATTGCCAAGCTGTCAAATAATTGCATTCATGTTTTCTCCCATGCTGCCTATCATGCACTTGGGTAACTGCAATTACCACAAAATTTGCTTCATTTCCTTTCTGAATTTTCAGTTTAATTTTTTTTGCCTTGCCTAAAGATTATTTTTCAAGAAGTGTGCTAGTACTATATTACTAAGGTTTTTACTGAGTTTTTTTTGCTTATCTATCCAGTGCTGATGCTAAGCCAAAATTCCCTTTTTCTCATGCTTGTCCTATGCTTGTTAAGTGGGGATGCTCGAAGTACCAAGTATCTCAGTAAATGTTTGTGTACAGCATAAATTAGGAACAGCGAATGTAAAACCCAGTGTCAGAATACAGGGCAGTATTTCATGGGCAGGAATTCAATTTGATAATGAATTAGTTGAGTATGTTAGTTAAACATTAAATTTTAGAAATTAATAATTTGCTAATTTAGTACAGAGCAGGCCATCTGGCGTTTGGGGAATATAGAATAAATGTAAATGATTGACACAGAAATATGCTTGCGAAAGAGAGATTAACTTCAAATATTTGAGACTCCTAGTGTGTCTGGAGGGGGTAGAAAATCAAAGCAGAGGTCTCTAATGAAAATATGTTATGGCCAGAACATCTGTGATAATTATCCAATTAGTATCTGGGGTCTAAATTTTGGCTGGTGTCCTGGATATTATATGTGTGTAACTCCACCTCAGTTTTGTTACCTAAGTGATTTGGGGTGGCTTAGTAGTTAATAGTCAGGCTTCTAGTATGCTTCAGAAATGGTACTTATCCTGATGGAGTTGTTGGTGATGGAGCTGTTATCCTAACCACTGTATTCAAGTCTCTTCCTGTATTTGATATTGTACCTTATCAGGCCGTACCCAAATCTGTAGCTCGTGAAAGTGTGCTCATTGCTTCTCACAGATAACTTTATTTTTAATGTTACCTGAGCACTCTTTATTTATTATCAAGCACCGGTTTTAATCCAGTTGCTACATCATTACAGGAACAGGAACGTTCTGTGCTCCCATGGACTTTAGTGAATGTACATGAATAAGGGCTAAGATGTTTTTTTTATGTTCCTCTTGCTTATGCTGAGTTGTATGATATTTTGATGATGTATGATTAAGCACAGAGTATGAATCAGACTAAGTTGGCTGCTAATGTGGAGAGAATTGAAGGAATTTTCATAATTGCTTGAGGTGGCTTTAACATTGACCTTCAGGAAGCTGTGATTTCTATGCAATATGTGGCTGATACATGAGGTAGTGCTTATGTGAGAAGAAATACAGAATAAATACAGTATTTTTTGTCCCCAGGGTGCAGCAATTCAAGGTAGGGTGCTTCTTCCAGGTGTTTGATCCTTTTGATTAAGATGGAAGCTGCTATTGAAAAATCCTTGAGTTGAATGGGTTTCAAAGGGTGACCAAGAGTAGATTTGAAAGTAGAGTTGAATGTGGCTTTTTTTTGTGACCCATAAATGTGACCTGTAAAGGCCTGAGAAAACCTTGTGGGGTATTCTCTCCTTCTACAGACTGGCATTCATTATTAATGCCTGAACAGCCTGCCCTGGAAAGGCAG